GCGCGAGCCGCTCTAACGGCCGCGGGCGGCCGTTGGCAGCAGCCGTTGGCCGTTGGCGGCAGCCGTTGGCGGCTGCGCGCCGCGGGGAAGCCGAGCCCCGCGGCCGCCTTCGTGTGGCGGCAACGGCGGCGGCGCCGCGAGCCTCCGGGAGCGCAGACGGAGCTGCAGAAAGGCAGCGGATGCCGCAAGACTTAAAGCAACGCCAGGCATTTTGCTGCAGTTGACGCTCCCAAGGCTTGCTCAGCAGTTTCCGTGCAGTGCTCCCGCTCTAACCAGCATGAAGTTGTCTCGCGTAGCTCTTTCTTGTCAGGCAAAGTAAAGGCATTTTTTACCAGCAGCTCTCAGCTACACTGGAAAAGCAATTTAAAAAGGCTTTGCCAGCTCCAAGACGCACACAGGGCATTGCTTTTCCTCATTTATTTTTTTCAGCTCGGGGGGCTGTTACCAAAACAAGCACCCGTGCTGGCAGCCAGACAAACCTCTGCAGGGCCGTGCCCGGCACCCACCCACGCTGCCCGGCGACGGCGGGGCRCCCTGCGAGGCTGAGCGCTGATAATACCAGGCAAGAACTGACTCATGGCCCAGCCCCAAGTGCCTGCGCGGCTTTTTCTTCCCCAGCAGCAGGTAACTGGTAATCATTTTATAAGAAAAAACACACAAAACATTTCTTGCATTGAGACAGGGCGTTGCGATATAGTGGGTAGTTTTCCTATGCCGAAGAACCACAAGTATTAAGCTAATAACCCAGATCTGAAATCCTGTGACAACGCTCCAAATATGCAGTTTCTGCTTTTAGGAATAGTGTTTCAGCTCTTGTTATTTATTTTGCATAGGGCTGTGGCTGAAAGGCAGCCTAACTCCCGTATCAGTAACACTTGAGACGCATCGGCAAGCGCTCCGCAGYGCCGGGCTGCCCTTCCTTGGCGAGGAGGCACTAAATAAATAATAGTTTCAGAGGAAGAGTGAACACACAGCGCGCCTCAGGCCAGGGGGACGGGCGCTGCCCTCCCGCGCTCGCCGCCAGCTGGGCCAGGCCGCGGCGGATGCGCGAGTAGAGCGGAGGCTGCAGGGAGCGCGGCTCCGCCACGGGGGCTGCCGTGCGCTCCCGCGGCCCGCGCGCGCCCTGCGCCATGGCGGCGGCACCGCAGCTACGGCTGCTGCTGCTGCTGCTGCTGCTGTGCGCGGCGCTGAGCGCGGCGCGGCGGGAGCGCCAGCCGCCCGTGCGCCTCTTCACCGAGCCCGAGCTGGCCAGATACGGCGGGCAGCAGGTGGGGGCGCCACGCGGGACGGCGAGGACAAGGAGGAGGAGGAAGAGGGTGGCAGTGGAGGTGGCGGCGGTGTTAGTGCAGGCAGGGTGACTGCTGCGGCCTCGGGGCTTGGGGGCATGCTCAGCACTGCCCCAGGCACCCACAGACCTGCAGCCTGCAGCAGAACACGGCACCCGCCGCGGCCTGAAACCAGCTGGGCCCAAAGCAACTTGCCCTCAGGAACGCTAGTGCATTACATTCCGTATGCCGGAGTTTTGTTTTGTTTTGTTTTGTTTTGTTTTGCCTTCCCACTCGCCCTGCCCCGCCCCCCCCCCCCCCCCCAAGATTATAGAATTAACAAAGGAATTTCAGCTCCAGAGTTTTCAGTTTTCCCTGCCACCCAAGTCTCAGCTAAAGTCCCGGCTCAAAATGGTAACATATGGCATGGATACACATGGATGTCTTCTCCTGTGCTGGCCCAGCTTCCCAGGGTATCCTCAAGGGACTTGAAAGAAAACCAGTCATCATCTTACTGAYTAAAACCGCGCCTTACCAGCAGAAGACAAAACCGAATCACAGGCTTGTTAAGTACAACTGCTGTCAGCCCACACTGAGGTTAAATACAGCCTCTCATTCCATGTGCTGAGCTCCACAGAAAACCTCTGAAACAGGTTAAAGTGCAAGCAAGGACTTTCAAGAGAGATACGTGTGTGTGTGTGTGTTGGTCTCTGTGTGTCGATGGAAACAGGAGAGAGATCTTCACAACATAAGCAGGGCTTCAACCCATGTCTGCTCTACTGTTTAGTATCCAAACAGAACAAAACATTTCAGTATGGAAAGCAGTATAGAAATGCCATGTAATGTATTGTCCACAGATATCATTTTACCATGTAGCTGATTATGGGGTCAGGTAAAACACCTTAGATTTATATTTGCAGTGCATTTGATTGTAAGCTTATGAAATACAGAGCAGGGAATTTTATTCTCTTCTCAGTGTAGGGGGGTGCCTATGGATTTCACAGCCAAAAGCAGGGCTTTACTTTTTTAATTACACTCAAGTGTTGAGAACCTAGAGCCCTTCTTTCTTTCCAGGAAGGACAGCCCATTTAYCTGGCAGTGAAGGGAGTAGTATTTGATGTTACTTCTGGAAAAGGTGAGTTTGTCCCTCTGCAGTCAGCTTTGTTTTCATGATGCTATTCAGTCATTTCCCAATGCCATCAAACTCCTAGAAATCTTAAGTTCAACCGAAACAAAAAATTATACTTTGTTTCTTTTTTAACCTGGGTGGATGGGGGTGGGAGGCTTAACTAACTTTTTCTCTTTTAAATTTTTTTTATTTCATGAGACTTCGTGTCTCTCAATTTATACAACAACCATTTATTCCTGTAGTTGCTGTCTGTGCCTTGGCTAGGAAACAAAGATATTTTAATCTGAACTCCTGTTGTTGAATTCAATTTACAATTCCAATACAGAAAAGACAATAATACTCTTAACTATGTTAGCTAGTTGAGGTAACTGTATCTTGGGTTTTGACTGGAAATATATTGTTATAGTTAGCGGGAACGCTAACACAACTTGCTGTAAAATATTTGGAGGACCAACAGGATGATGGATATTCACCTTGGTGTTGTAATAGGCAACTTATTACTCTACTGCTTTGCTTGCATGATGACATTTTGACAAATCCTAAATTAGWTAAAGTTTGGCACTGCAAACTCTGCTGTATACAAACCATCTATGGGAATGTAAAGCATTATTCCCTAACAGATTTTAAGAACGCAGTACAGGAGTTTAACAGCTGTATTGTACAGCCCCACTGTGTCTTTTTTAAGCACTGGGATATACTATCGAAATAGCAACCCCAAACCCATTTTAGGAAAGAAAAAAATCTTAGGCTGGAGATGTTGCTTTTGGTTCACTGAGAGGTGAACGGTGGAAAGCAGCAGCTGAATCTGCCCTTTGCAATGTCAGAGCATTGCTGTTTGTTTGTTTTTCCTCTAACAGAGTTTTATGGAAAAGGAGCCCCATATAATGCTTTGGCTGGAAAAGACTCAACACGAGGGGTTGCAAAGATGTCTCTGGATCCAGCAGATCTTACTCATGACATAGTAAGAAACTGGCTTATTGGCTTAATTCCATTGCAAAGTTTCATTTTGCTGTATGTTCTGCTTGTCAATACATATTAAAAGCTAAGAAAGATGATTAATGGTTATAGTCTTCTAATTTGTATTATATTAAGCAGATTTGCATTTTTAGTCTAATTTGAAAACAAAATGAATTATTATGCTTTAAATACATAAAATGATTATGTATTTACTGCTCATGAATGCTGAAGTCTTAAAAGCCTTGGAGATGCAAGGCTTTAATGAGTGGAACAAGTACAACTTGCATAAGTAAGTAAGTGTTTTAAGGGGAGATTACCTGATGTTTAAAAGACACTTCCAAAGAGAGTAAATCACTTTTCTTTTTAATTGGTTTAACTTATGAGCAGGCAGTGGACATTAACTGCGACAGGGAGGTAGTTGTTGCTCGTTTGTGGTGTCACTCACTGCGTGAACTAACAGTTTATTTTACCTGAACTTATTAAAGCTTTATCAAAGATGAATTTGAACGAGAGGAATAAAACTATATATCAATTTTGTTACTTATGCTCTGCAAATGAAACCCCAAAGCTGACCCTAAAGTTTAGAGCAATCAACAACAGCATGTAAATATCTACATTTTCATTTCTTTGACCATATTTCATTCAGACAGGACTCACAGAAGAGGAACTGAAATCCTTGGATGATACCTTCAATAATGTTTACAAGGCCAAATACCCAATTGTGGGCTATACATCTCGCAGAATCCTGAATGAGGACGGCAGTCCCAATCTAGACTTCAAACCTGAAGATCAGCCCCATTTCAGCATTACAGATGAGTTTTGAYGAGCGATTTAGTATCGAGAGAATATCCACAGGGCCACAACAGAGTGATTACTGCATTGTTTCCTGGAAGGAAGAACATATTAGGTGAACTATTCATTTACAYATTTATATATTTACTAAAGAGAAAGCGGATTGCTGATAGCTAATTATTGGAATGAATTCTGGAAAAGAGGGAATAAAACAGATCTTTGTTAGTCGTATATGGTTGTGCTTTTTGCTCTGAACTGCTAGTATAATTTCATATGGAAGTTCTCACTGCTTGTATTTGTCTAGAAACATGTAACTTAAAATCACATTCTTTAAAAGAGAAGGAATTTTCCAACAGTTGAAACATCAGTGGTCTCTATGTAAATCCCTACTTGTTTTTCAGTCCCTTTGAACACTTAATGTACTGTTTGGACCAGCTAACAGCAAGTTTCTGTACTGCAGTTTCTATGATTATAGGTACTCACATATATAAGTAGGTGTAAAGGAAGCTTAGCCTTTTAAAGGTATTGTACGATTTAATATTTGGCAGGTTTGAGAATACTGGAAATAAAAACCATCAATCTCTTAAAATGCAGTTACAGTAGAATATTTATGCAAAGCCTACAGCTACAAAACAAGCAAAATAAATCTGTTCTCCCTTGAGAAATACTGTGACATTTTCAGTAAGATTCTTATTATGTTAGTTTTAAATAAATGACACTTTTTTTTGGAAATAATTATTGAAGCTGTCAACTTAGACATTAGATTATGATGATTTCCTTCTAGCTTCCTCTACTCTTTCTCTGTCAAAAAAAAGGAAATGATAACTCACTGTTTCCTACATACTCCTATAGCACTTGTTGATTACACTAATTTAGAATCCTGTGGGTATTTTTAACATCTTCATATTGACAATTTCGTCCTTTAGCTTTTAATTTCATTTTTTAGTTTATTATAGTCTGGTTTCATCATTGCCCTTGCAATGAGATGTGAATTCATATATTCTTCTTTTTAATTAAATATAAAACTGCAGATTCTGTAGGATGATAGAAGTCCTCTCTTTATCAGATTTCTCTGGCAGTACTTCAGCAGTCAGAGGACAGAAAAAGTTTGTGCTACATAAATTGCTGCTCACTACTGACATACAGTAACTGGAGCAGAACGTCAACCGTCATGTATGTGGGTTTACCTGCTGCTGTGGCAGACTTCATCCGAGATCAGCCTATCCGCCAGCATTTAAAGTTTTGTACATGGACATTTTATAGCTGGACTGTCTCACACAGGGTGGCACAGTGTTAGTGCTGTCCCCCTGCTTCGCCTGCTTGYGCTCTGACGCTCACCTCTGCTGACTCCAGATAAGATGTCTTCTATTTAGACCAACTACCAGGTTCATTTCAGGGAAGAAACCTCCTGTTGCACTGGTATTACTGCAGTGGTGATAAGAAACGCTTTTGTTAAGAGGTCCTTGCAAATTCAGCTTGCCCCTGCTCATGTGCTGTGAAGGGAAGGAGATGTCCAAGTCCTTCCAGTCTGTCACCAAGAAGATTGTCACAACTGCATGCATTTCAGAATGCAAAATGTTTCCTTTTTGCTTTTATTTCAGCTTGGGAACTGAAATACTTCTGCTTAGTCACTCAGCAGAACAGTGTTCCCACAATAAGTAGTCTCCACATGTTAAGGAATATATCCTTAACATGGATACTGTACTACGGTTCCCCATCATTAGCTGCTGTTACTGGTAACATGTTCACTGACTACTTTTTCACTGAATTCAGAGTACCACAATATTTCTTTTAGTATTAATATAATGTCACTGTTTTATTTCTAAGGTTGTCACTTGTTGACAGCCTGACACGTTTCGCTTAAGAGCAATACTGTCTGCTCCCACTGTTTTGTTCAGCCAAGTTGCATTTTTCTGACCTTTGTATCATGCCAGCGAGACAGCTGCCTTCACTGTCTATRAACTGCACTCAAAACAATTGAACTTTGCAGAGCCCTAACACCCCTCTCCCAATATCCCACAGTTTCTTTCAAGAATGAATAATTTCTTTGTAATTTATTTGAAGCTTCCTGCTAACATTGCAAATGTCACTGTTTTTGCTGTGCTGCTTCTAATCTGTGTCTTGTTAATTTAATGTAAGGGTTTGTGTGATCAGAGGTTTTAATGAATTGCTGTGCCAAGAAGGAACTTAGGTTAATAGCAGTTTATTTTCCAGAAAATAGAGAAGTATCAGATGGGTTCACTGAAGAGATGCATAACGTGAGTTTTCCACTTGACACTTTTTCCTATAGTACCTTTTTGTCTCATTGAGTGAGAGGAATAATTGTATAAGCCACCAAAACTCAGCAAAGGGGTTCCACTGACCCTCAAAATGCACATGAAACACAGATCAAATTTTTATCTCAATTTTTGCAGTTGTAGAAACTGCAATTAAATGAAATCTGACTAAGAACATGTACACCGTGTTAGTAACAACATTATTTTTCATTGTAATCAAAACAAGACCACTAGCCAGAAAGGTATTTAAAAGACTGCAGGAACTTTGAATTTTATTTATAATCCCAAAGGCTGACATTTTTCCAAGAAGACTCTGGATTTGGATTTAGGCATAAAATAGTATTTTTCCTTTCTTAATAACTGCAACATGCATATAGGCACCCTGCTTTCTGTGTCCCTTTGCTAAAATACAAGAATTTCATCGATTTAAGTGAACTAATGTCTGTATCAGTTTTCTTAGACAGAAGAGGTTTCATCTTTGAAAAACACTGCCTAAGCTAAACCAACAATGTTCGTGGTCTGACAGGATCAGTTGTCCACAGGGAGCACTGCAGGAATCAGTGCTAGAGCACAGCTCAGACCACACTCGTCAGACCTGCCAGACTTTTACATCTCAGTAAAAATGAAAAGAGGTTGCTTGTCTGCTCAACTACAGTGCTTGGTGCTGGTGGAAACTCCAACACCGTTTGTAAATCATGACCTTTAACTCCTGTTGCAAAAACACCACCGGATTATGTATTCAATGAATAATAGTTTGGAAAGACCTTCAATAACTACAGTTTGTCCCTGGGCAACCCTGCCAACAGCAAGCAGAACTCGATGGGGTCAGAGGAAAAAAAGGAAGAAAAAGGTTTAGCCGACTTTTACAGACGTGTTCTGTCACTTTTATAGGTACTTATCTGAAACACGTGCAATGTAATTTACATTTGTTCAAGGGAAAACGGAAGAGATGTGAAGAGYTTTGTGCAGAATGTCCAACATGGATTTTTGAGCTGATCTGGTTCAGGTGAAGAGAAGAAACACTCCAAAACTCGCGAGTGGGAAGGCTGCCATTCAGCAGGGCTCAGCCACGCCCCAGCAGGACGTGCCAAGTCACACTGATGGGGATCTGCACATCCCCAGGCCAACACCGCCCTTTCTCAGCCACGTCTCACACTCCCCATTTTGCACAGGTGGTGACAGTCAGACACTGTTAGCCACGATTCACTCCGGTTTTGTTTAAATTGTTTTCTGTTTACTCAGGAAGCAAAATATAAGCCAGGCGACTTACACGGCACATCCAATCACCAAAAGTAATACTCATGTCAAAGCAAAATGCACATGAACCTACAACCTGAAAGATACTTAGATGGCCTATTACTTATGGAATGAAAGTCAAATCCAAGTGTTGGCCTCTAAATGCTTTGATTAACACCACAAAAATCCATAATTTTTATATTTGTAACAATAACTTTACTCAGGGGTTCTGTGTTTGAAAGCTGATTTAGAAAGCTACAGATATTACCTGACTACCATTACCTGACTACTTTTAAATAAAAAATAGTGCTTTTTTAAAAGGTGCTTTTTTTCCCCCCACTTTCTATTAAACCAGTGTCTCAGAACCAAGTATATGATTGGTGGGCACCATTGCTAGAAGCACTCACATAGCACAGGCAYGATTTTGATCTCATGGCAAAAACAAAGATAGAAACAAAACAAAACAAAATTAACCAAGAGGCATAATAGGTGGGAAATGAGAATGCATCTTAGTGCACTTTTGGGGCAATTTCTACCTTAGAAGCAGATTTGAAAGAGCAACAGAGGCAGTTTGATAGCAAACACTGATTCTTATTTTCATTTCTGCCTAAGTGAGTCAATGTTAACAACCTTAACTTGCACCCGTACCTGTTTGTTGATCTTCACAGAATTAATTCTGTTTTGGTCTTCCTGTTCAATGGAAGGTGTGAGCCCTAATTYAGCTGTTTACAAAACTCATGTTCAGATCTTCTTGGCTTACATTACCTGTTGACAAGAAATCCACAATAACAGACAGAAAATGAGATTAACATTCTGTGAAAAACAGACAAGGTGCACCTGGATAAACTGCAGAGTTCACAAAACAGAGCCATGGGAAGTGCTCTCAAATAAACAATTCCCGCTGCCATTTCCCTTATGTTATTTATAGCTGTCGCACTCAGAAATTCTGCATTGCTTATAAAGTTTCAGATTGCCACCTTCTGTAGAACATTTTGACATGGGGTTTGTCCTTCTGAGAAGTGAAAAGAATAGTGGTATCTGGGTACTAGGCACCTGGGAGGTAAGATACTCAGGAAAAGCAAGCTATGGCATAATTTTCCCTCCACTGAAAGAATCCTCTTACAAGAGCAGAAGAAACCATGTTTCAAGTCATTTTATTTTCACCCAGTGTTATGTCATACTGTGGAAAGGCGGCAGCCAAAGCAAAAACCTGGGTCTAATGTCAGCTTTGAGAAAATGCTGCTCCTCGGCATACCTGTTTTGGCTGGAGAGGTTCAAACAGCACAGATACTAACCTAAGCCAGAATACAGCAACTGAATCCAAACAGGCCTAAACTTGCAGAAACGTCTGAATGCAGAGCTGAACTCAAAGGCTTGCACTGTAGTTTTGTAGGCAGTCGAGTCCTTATTTTACTGCCTAATAATCACACAAATAGGATTTATGAGAAGTAACTATTCCAGCCAGGAAAATAAAGGGGTTTTTTGACACTTGGGCAGACAGAACTAGAAGATGATTAAAGTGAAAACTTCCCTAGTTCTCGTATGCTTCTTTGCAGAGATACTAAGTTCAGCTGTTTTGGATATACAGAGTTTAGTTACCAAGCCATTAGCCCAGGGGCCAACTTCCTAGATCAAACTGATATGTGCACCTACCTTCATTTTACACTGCAGTGCTGTGTTTGTAATAATCACAGATAAAGGCAAAGTAAAGCAAGCTTGCTAATTGTRTTTAACCCTGTATTATTTTCAACGATCAAGTCAAGCTCCTACAAACATAGTTTTGTTTAAAAAAATGGATAAAATCCATGAAAAATCAATGAAAAGCCAAGTACTGATTCTGAACTAAAGCTGTGCACCTCTCATTTACATATACTTCATCATGACAAAAATGTTACATCAAGGGATTATACGACTGACTTGAGACAATGCTGTTAGGTAGCATATGTGTGTCCCATATTATGTTGGAGGTGTCGATAATGCCACTGATTTTTTCCTTATTTATTGTATAGCCATGCTCCRTACTTTCAAATAATTCTGCAGTATTCTTAACAATGAGTTATTTTAAGGCATTTGTAAAGTACATTTATGTTATACAGAGAAAAAGTACTTGTATATCTGAGCTATACAACAGATATACAGATCTAGCAACTTGGCAAAGGGAGCAGTGTGATAGTCTCTCTAACCTGTTTCATCTATTTCTTGCACTAAAGTCGAACAGGTCAGAAATAAGGTCCTGCAGTTTTCATCTCTGACAGTGTTAATGAAAGAGGAGGCAGAAATGAAATGATGGGGAGACTTAAAAGGACATTCAAAAAACTTTCATTATTACCCTGTAAAGGATCASCCTGTGAGCTTTAGCAAGCTTCGAAGAGCTATAAAAACACGTAGGGATGTGTTAGGAGCATGTGCTGAGCCTCTGGGATCCCACATATTTAATACTATACATGTTTCTAAATTGCTCCTGCTGCCTGTAGTAAACACTTCCCTCCCACTCCTGTGAATGGTCTCCTTTGAGCTCAGTGTGTCTTGGAGCTGGAGGGAAAGGGGCTCTTGGGAGGACTGCATGCAAGGCAGAGGGACAGCAGAGGAATACAACAACCTGAGGCAGTGAGGAGGAAGGTGAGGGAAATTCTGCTCATGGCAGCAGCAGGCGATTATAAATAACCCCAGAGCACAGAGTACAGTTTCAGAAGTGGTGAAACTTGCTGATGCACTCAGAGAAAAGGTTGAACTTGAGAACGGAAGAGTGTGACATCCTCCCTGGATACAGTTCTGGGAAAATCAGCATGAATTAAACAGTTCGTGACTGCTGGCTCCTTGCTTGACATCCTCAGACTTATTTTCCAAAAATACTGAATGCATTTGGCTTTGACACCTTGCAGGTGCCTGGATTCATGGAAAAATCACACGAGGGCCATTCAATCTCTAGCGTAGGGCTTCTTCTCCTTTCAACATTAGAACTCAGCCATCATAGTTTACAAACGAAGGCTGGAGCTTTGCTGCTGAGGAGCCAACCGGGGACATGGAAATGAAGGTGCCCTCCACTCCCCAGCTCCACTTTGACCTTGCAGTCCATCTCGCTGGGTCTCTAACTTCCCTTTGTCCATCTTGCCTTCGGGCACTGGCTGCTACTTGAAGGAAGCAATGTCAGCTGAACATTAGAGCTGGTGGGTCCTAAGCGTGGCTGTAACGCAGGGACTGCTCCTCCCCGAAGCCATCGCTTGTTATTTCCTCCTCTAAAGTGGCATYGCCTCGTCGTGCTTCATCTTTCAGCTAAAGGGAATACATTTTATTCACATTCATCTACATCTGTCATCAACAGCAGTGTGTCTGTGTGTCCGTTGGTCACCTGTTTGTTTAAACACTGCTAAGAGCACTGATGACCGGCTCAGCCACTTAAGGACATTTGATAAAGGTGCTTCACAACACCATCAAGAAGCTGAATCACACACTCAAAATGTGCAAAGCGGAGGGCCAGCTGGAACACAGAGGTAAACATTTCATCCAATAGGCTTAGCTGTTGTACCTTAAAATAGACTCGATAATTTCAAATAAAAAGGTCTCCGACCCCAAAACAGCTGTTAGTGGCCACTGCGGATTAAAGTGCATAAGCCTGAACTTCCTTAAGTATTTAATGGAACTTTCCAGCCTGGAAAAAAACTTAACATTTAACAAAACTCTACATGAATAATTATATTAGTTGTACTTGCTACACAAAGGCATAAATATTTACACGCCCGTTTAATACATAGGGAAACGGTCCCAGCCTCTTATTCCAGGACTGTCACRCCCACCCGACCGCAGTCCCGTCAGGGGTGACGGGTGTGATTCCCATGCGGAAGCGCAGCCCGCAGGCGTCTCCGTGTGCCTTGCAGATGCACCTGCTTGTGTCGCCCTCGGAAAAATCTCTCCCCTTCCACTACGCTGCCTGGTTTAACAGCACGAATAAATCCGGGGTCATCCCTGTTTCATAACTGGACATATTAATAGACTAGGGGAGTCTCCATGACCCACTGCAAAGCACTGCTTGATCTACAGACAGGGTTTGAAAAGCCAAATTCTGCAAAACGTTTATATAAAAGCATTGCACTCCATAACTTCCTCTAACTGGACTGTCCGCTCATTTATATCTTTTTCCATCAACTCATTTAGACTGACTCATTCCACCTAAAAATAGTTTGGATTTACTTTATCTTTTTATATTCAGAATAACAGCACAGAATGGATGGTGCCTGAGGGCTGTTATCTAATAAAACCCACCTTGTTATTTCAACTCATTCCTTTCAGTGTCTGAAAACCACTGAGCCACATCTTACATGGGTATAAATGCACATACCCACGTATGGAAAGGAAGTTATGTGCAACCCTATCATGCAAATTTGACCCCCGCCTTCTTCAGCTATAAGGAATACTCTAGGCCACAGAGGATGCTTTGCCTCTAYATATCTTTTCAGAAATTGAGCATAACTGCAGCACTGTTAATAGAATCACTCCAGATTTATGTCAGTGTCTCAATTCTACCCAATTTCATTCCAAATTTGCTTGAGTTCTGATTTTTCCATGTGCTGTTCAAGTTTGCACCTCTGCAGCTAAGGGAAGAACTCTGTAAAAAGCAAACTCTCAGCCTGTCCGGGTCAAATTGTAAGGAAGAAATAAAAGCACATGTAGTTTACTATGCTCTGCCCTGCAACGTGGTCTTTTTGGTGAAGAAAAAAATAAAGGAAGGATTAGAGGAGCTTCAGAGGACTAAGTGGGAATAGAGCCGCATGCTGGAGCGGGTGGCATGAACCTGCAGGGTCAGGCCTACCCCTTGCACACACTTTTAGTGAGCACAAACCTCAAAATTGTTGTGCAAGATGTCAGGGGAGCACAACACAGGTATCATTCACCTGTCATTTACCTACTCCAGAAACAGATTTTAAACTAGAATAATTAATATCTCTGCTTTCCAAGCAGTCCATTGCAAATTCCTCTTCTGGCTTATAGAAACTGTCCTAATGTGCATCAGCACTGTGTTCTTTCAAGAAGGTCTGTAAAGAGCAGCTCTCCGAGCTGGTGAGGCTGGTTCTTTAAAGCTGTGTGTGTCTCGCCGGGAGTTTTGTTTCAGTTTTATCATTTAATATTCATGAAAATCAGCTGTCTGTGTGGTCTTAGCATCCTGCCTTCCGAAAAAGTCAGAAGTTTATTCCTGCCTTGCAAGGCTCCATTTTCCAAGCTGCAGGCCCTTCCAGTCTTCAATTCTATGTATAAACCAACAGSATGAAGCAAACAGCAGAAGAACAGCCAGGAAAATTATATATAAAAAAGAGGTTGTTCAGCACTACTAGTTAGTCAATAACATGCTTAAGCAATTAAATTAATCTGATCAGTTAATTATTCATTCAGGACCATGCACCGAGGCTCTGCCAAAGCTCACAATTCTGATGTGCCCACCAATAATAAAATGYGATGGTGCAAAAGGAGAGAAGGAAAATCCTTGCTTTTAAGCCACGTGGAGTAAACTGTGCCATCCTAAAATTATTCATAGCCCATTGCATATCTGTCAAAATAATACATAAACACTCGGAGTACTAAATAATTTCAGTGTCGTTGAGAGGAAATATATTCAGGCTAAAAGCAACGTCTGTAATTACATTACGACTGTAACGTTCGTGTGTTTTCATCAAGAATGTCAGAAGGGGCAAGTGACGCTGAAGGCTGCGGGCAGGCCAGTCCCGCAGGAGCCGGCGCCACGCGAGGGGGGACAAAACCCCTGCACGGGACGG